TAACTTAAGTTTTTATAGTTAGATTAGTTTTATATATTCTTATATATTCTTATATTATCTTTATACTAATTTATATTATTAATAATACCTTTTATATACCTTTATATACTTTTATACTATATTAAGTAAAGTTATTACTATTCTAGAGAAGATTAATAGTATTACTATACCTATATATATAGCTATAGTAGCTAGTAGTAATATATATATAAAGGTAACTATATATACTATCTTATAGTATAAAAGCGCTATTTTAAAGAAGGTATTACTTATAATATATACTATAACTTTAAAACTTAAGATATATATATTAAGACTAATAAGGTATATATAGGGTAAGAGGTAAAGTTATTATATTATATAACTTCTATCTAGTTATATAGTATAGGTAAGTGCTAGATATACTAGGTAATAGGAGATTATTCTTCTAGCTTCTAAGCTACCTATTATTACTCCTATTTAATCTATATTAACTAAGAAAAATAACTAGAAATAACTATAAGGAATAAAATAATAACTATAAGGAAAAGTAGTAACTACTATAACTACTATAATATACTATAATAGTAGCCTAATTCTCCTACTTACTAATAGGTATAATAGTACCTATTAGTATACCTAAGTTACCTTTTTCTTCTAGGTATAGGGTAGCTTATAGTTATACTAGGTATAAGGTAGCTTATAATTATATTAAGTATAGGGTAGCTTACTATTATATAGGGGGCCTTACTTATTAGGATTACTATCCTAAGTAGGTAATAGTTATAAGATTATAGGTATAGAGTGCTTATAGAGGTATTTTATAGGAATAGTTATATAATAATAATTCTTAATTAACTAATAAAATAAACTATAGAAAGGAGAGGCTATAATTAAATATATAAATAGGTAATACCTTAGGTATTACTAGGAAATTATAGGAATAAAGGGATAATTAGTAGTTATATATATTAGTAGTTAATAACTTATAGGTAATTACTTTACTTACCTATAGAAGGTAATAGCGCCTTTATAGTAGTCTAGCTTTATTAGCTTAGTTACTTATTATAATAGCCTTTATAGTACCCTATATTAAGGCTATAGGTATTAAGACTTTTTTATATACTATTATATAATATAACTACTATATATATATACTATATAGTATAACTAGCTACTATATATAACTATATATAGTATAAATCTATTTATTATATACTTCTATATATAGTATATCTTATTAAATATTTATTATACTTAGCTAATTATATCTACTATAGCGCCTATTAGTATAATACTAGTAGTTTTTTTTTTTAGCTAAGTTATATAGCCTCTAGGCCTCTTTATAGCTTTTATAGTATAGTTAACTTAGCCTTAAATATATAGTATTAACTAGTTACTATTAACTAGCTTTTATAATACTTTATTTAAAATAGCCTTTATTAGTATATTTATAAGGTTATTATTACTATTAATTTAATAGACTTTAGTAAGCTTATAATACTTATAGGACTAGTATAGTATTATAATATTAATTATTAGGTATTTCTTTTTAGTAGTTTTAAGCTTTATTAGGTATTTATATAGTAAAAATAAATCTATATAAACTATTATTAGAACTACTATTAAGCCTATTAACTTTATAATCCTATTTAAAATAGTAGAAAAGGTATAGCCTATATTAATATCTAGAACTATACTATATAGCTTTAATATTAGTATATTTTAAATAATATATTTACTTTTTATTAAGCTTTAGGTAATAATATTACCTTAGATAGTAATTTTAGTATAGTTAACTAGTTCTTTATTACTTAGAATAATTATATATCTTAATTAAGAACTTAAATCTTTATTATTAATAAAAAAACTATTAATAAAAATAAATAACTTAGTTATTCTTAACTAGATTAGTAAGTACTAAAGGCTTTAAGTAGTATTTTTAATTTACTATTAAATATAGGTATTTAGGTACTTAAAATTATCTTTTTTAGGCTTTTTAAATTATATAGTAATAAATAGGTTAAATATAGCTTTTAGTTAGTATATAGAGGCTAGGTATATATCTTAGGCTTATTATTTAATATACCTTTTTAGGTTTATTAATAATTAAAGCTTTTTTAATTATCTTTTTAAGACTATTAAAATAGTATTATTAATACTTAAAAAAATATAATATTTATTAAATATTAATAGGTTCTTTATTATAAATATCTTCTTTAGTTTAGCTTAAAATCTAATAGTAATAAAGGTATTAGCTTTTTATTTATTAAAGGTAATAATATTAAGGCTAATTATATTATTAGTCTATATACTAATAATACCTAGATTAAGGCCTAAAGTTAATAAAAAGTACTAATTATAGGTAAATAATACTATCCTAAGCTTCTTAAGGTAGTAAGTAAAGTATATTACTTATTAGTAAGTACTAGACTTAAGGATACTATATAGTAATAAGATAACTTTAATAATAGTACTCTTAAGGTAAAGATAGTAAAGTTTTAAGGGAATCTAGGTAAGAATATACTATTAAAAGTAGGTTCTAGCCTATATATAAGCCTAAGTAATATCTTAAAGCTATAGTAGCTAACCTTATTAGATTTAAGTTAATATAAGGCCTAAGATTAGGTATTAGCTTACCTTTTAGATAGTTAATAATTAGGTAAGTAGTATATTTTTATTATAGTTTTAATAACTATATAGAATTATATATATTTTCTTTATAGGCTTTTTAATAGTATTAAATTTAATCTTATTAACTATTTAAAATTTAAATAGGTATTTATAGTAAATAATAAGGTTAAACTTAATAAATTAAAAAACTTTATATTTTAAAAGGCTTTATAACTTCTTTTTAGTAAAAATAAAGAATAGGGGTTTATTATTAAAGAGTATATTATCTTTCTAGAGTTTTAAGTAATATTTTATATTATTCTTCTTTTTAGTAAAAAAGAATATTTTATCTTTAGTTATTTTTAATAGAATTTAGTATTTTATAGGCTAGTATTTTATCTTTATACTAGGAATTACTTATAAATATCTAGGCTTATAGGGGATAATAATTTAGATTTATTTAATAGGCTTTAAGGTAGTCTTAAAAGGCTTTAAAATAGTTTTAATAGGTTCTAAAGTAGTCTTAGTAGGCTTTAAAGAGGCTTTAGTAGGCTTTAAAGTAGCTTTAGTAATCCTAGGGGTTTAATAATTATAATCTAGGTTATTATTAAAGTTATACTTACTATTAGTATTATTTTTAAAAGCTTATAATACTTCTAGGTCTATATCTAGATCCTTCTTAATAAAGAATAGGTATATAATAGTTATATAGAAGCTAATAAGGCTAGATAGTATTTCTATAGTATATTTTCTAGTATTTATATTTATTAGCTTATAGGGGTTAGTCTAGTTAGTATCTTTATATTAAATATAGATATCTAACTATAGTAGTAGGTAGTATAAGGGGTCTATATTAAGGCTATTATATATAGCTAGTATTTTATATATTTACTATAAGGAGAGGGCTTTTTAGGTAGTATTAGTTGCCTTCTAGAGGGTTTTAGTATATTAGGCTACTAAAGGGTATAGTAAAGAGCCTTCTAAGAGATAAAGGTAAATATTAAAGACTAGTAAGATAGGTACTAGGCTATTAAGGCTAGTAGAGTTATTTATAGTCTTAATAGTAAGTTATAAGTACTTATTAGTATTTAAGGTATTTTATAGCTTTTTATAAATAATATTATAGGTATACTAAAAAGGGGTATAGTAGTATTCTAGCTTACTAATTATATTATAGGCTTCTATAGGTATTAAGTATACTTAAATATCTAGTTTTTTTATATATTTATAGAATTTAGTTAATAAAAAGTTACTTTTAGTATTATAGATAATCTATTTAGGGGGTTTAAGGTATATATTAATTTAATAGTACTAGAGTGTATCTTAGAGGCTTTTAGTACTTTCTAGGGGGCTTTCTATACTTTTATAAAGGAATTAAGCTACCTAGAAGGAGGTAGTAGTATCTAGTATATATAGAATAGGTTATTAATTATTAAGATATATTATATTAGCTAGTATTTTATAGTTAAATTTATACTTATCCTTTAGGGTAAATTAGAACTATCTAGTATTATGCTAGTAGGCACTATAGTGGATATAGTT